GGGAACCCCGGCAGCCAATTGCACACAGCAGCGTCCCACAAAAAGTCATGGATTGAGTGACCAATTCTTTTTTTGAGGGATTATTACCCGCGGAAAGCGATCCGCCAATCGACTAACAACCGGGTTCCTGCTTAATGCTAGGTAAACAGAGGCGTGTGGAGTAAGCAAACTTGACTAAGGTTTCGTCCTGCCAGGGAATCGAACCCAGGTCCTCTCGCTTGCGAGGCGAGCGAATGTCATTGATTGCAGCATTAATTGAGACGCAAACTAAGCAGAGCTTCCCAGACGTTACTGCCGCTTGAGTTGACCAGACATCTGTGATATTCCCAATCTCCGGTTGTTGCTGACTATTACTTTAGGAAGGAAGTATTGGATTAGGTCATGTCTTCAGAATGGCTTTTAAGTACCAGCCTAATAACCTCCTGTCCTTTGTGTTAGCCCTTTTCTTGCTGATTAGACTCCTCAGTTATTTCAAACCATTTTAGCAGCGATGCAAACTTTCCCACATCCAAGCAAAACTAAAAATACTGTCCGGGTATCTCACAAATGGCCATGATTGGGACATTACCCCCTCCCACTCCCCTTTTCCTTTGAGTTCAGGATCAGGTCAACTTAATGATGGTAATGAATTACGAGGCCATACATTTCTGCCCCTCGAGTCACAAGTCTTATTTTACAACCCAAAATCTTTGCGTCTTTAACTGGATGGTTATAAATTGTACTCAGGCTCTTCGAATCATTTGAGTGTCTGCACTTCTCCACAATGTTAATTTGGAAACTGCGGTTTACACAGCACAAGTATACATTGCCCTTAATCATTGAGACGTTCTCATATCTTACTCAAATAACTCCCGTTTTATACACTGCGTATCAGATTTTTATCACTTGAATAATGTTAGCTAATGCTGATACTGCACGTCATTAAGCTGAGAGGTTGGGTGGTCGCTGAAGAGAATATGATGGAAGTTTAGGTTGTGCTGTTCTACTTAACATGAGAATTTTGAATGTTTCTTTTCACTAGGAAAACATTTCTCTCTATTTATGATTGCTGTAATGCTCACTACAAAATACACAGTCAATCCACTTTACGGTGAAGCGCTTTGAGACGTGGTAAGGCGCTATATCAAATGCAAGGTTTTTTTTATTATTATTCTTTGAGAGGTAAGGGAGCAGTCGTGTTGGTATTATAGTCCATCATCACTGCAGTGGAGGCAGTTCACTATTCGTTCTAATCCCAAACTCTGCTGCCTGTTTCCTTACCTGCACCAAACACTCATGGCTATTAGCAACAACAACTTGAATTTATATGGCCTCCACGCAGGGTAGCGTCGCAGAGCGCTTATTAACCCCATTCCTCACCTGGCTCCTTTGGCCCCCTGTCTGGGAACAGATCAACTTCAAGGTCCTTACCCTTACACAACAATCCCCTCATATTCCTAGCACCTTCTTCCTCTCTGGTCTGCTCATACCCCACCCCACTGCCCCAACCCCCTTCCCGCCCCCACTCAAAAGCATGATGATGTGAAATTGATGCCCCATATCGCTTAGTAGTATATTAATAATGATGATTCTGATTAAAATTTGCATTCATATAGTACCCGTCACATAAAAGTGTCGGAGATGTGTGGGCTAATTGTCTCAAAATGCAATAGAATACAAAACAGACAGTGGGACGGCAGCCAACGTGTGCCAGCAACGCCCATAAACAACAACGAGCTGAAAAAACAATTCATATGAATTTGGGGGTGAATTTGGATGAGGAGGGAACGGACGTTAGGATTACCAGGAGAAAGACTTCATCTTTCTCCGAACTAACAACCACAGGGCAGACTATTTACATCCACCTATATCTTTAGATCTTACCAATATTTTAGTGCTGCTGCTGCAACAATGGCCTGACTATTAATGTTCATCTATGCATAATAATAATAATCCTTGCATTACCATATATCTCGAAGCGCTTCACAGAATGTATTGTAAAGTGATTGACTGTGCGTTTTGTGGGCAAAGCAGTCAATTGCAGCCAGCAGTGTCCCACAAACAGTCGTGGATTGAGTGACTGAATTTTTTTTGAAGGATTATTACCTCTGGTAAGAGATCCAACAATCGACTAATAACCAGATCCCTACTTACTGCCAGGTAAACAGAGGCTTGTGGCGTAAGGAAACTTGCATAAGGTTTCGCCCCACCCGGGAATCGAACCCAGGCCATCTCCCTTTGCGGGGCGAGCGCACTAACCACTACGCTATGGGACTCTATATCATATAAGTATACAGCTAAATCCACTCCGAATTCTCTCTTCTTTTTGAAAATCCAAGGAGAGTAATGTTTCAATGTACGAAAAATAACTGGAGGCTCAAACACCTTTTAAAATACTTCTAACGTTTGATTATCGCCTGAATCCACCCACCCCAAACTTTGTTTTAAAAAAAAGAATTTCCTCTGTGCTCTTTTCCAAAGTTGGAACATGATGTCACACAAAGGTCAAAAAATTGTTCCTTTCTTCAACAACCTCCGTCTACGTACAATATATATTCGTCAAGACTAGTCGATGTAAGTCGTCAAGCACACTATGAAGGGTCTTCACTTTGCCCTCCCTCAGTTCGATAAGAGTGGTATAAAACTGCACAGCTGCCCGAATACAGGGACTATTTTTCTCGAGTCAATTTTAATACCATTTTTGACAAGAACTTCACGAGGAGATAAACTACAGCGGTTCAGTAGAGGAACAGGTCAGGTAACTCGGTTGCTGTGGCTCGTTCCACTGAGTCAGAAGGTTGTAGGTTCAGCACTGGGGAAGCACTCCATTGCCAGAGGTGCTGTTCTTCATGTGAGATGGTAACCCGAGGCCCCATTTGCCTGTTCAGAGGGACATTAAAGATCCCGTGGCACTGTTTGTAAAGGGAAAGGAGTTTCTCCCAGTGTCCTGGCCAATATTCGTACAGCCAAATTGGTTTGTGGGGCCTTGCTGTAGGCAAAATATTTTGCCGGGATAGTGGAAGGCGAACTGGTTGGACCTTGGTCTTCTTTCATCTTATGTCCTTAATAATTCTTCTATTTGAAACGTCTCAGCACTTCATAGCTTTTCTGTGAATTGTAGTGTAGAGCTCGAAGGCTTTATCCTTAGTGAAGGGCAACTTATAAATGCAAGTTGTTATTATGTCTGTGAATTTGGAATTGAAAGCAGCAGCCAATGTTTCAAACAAGACATTGGGACGAATTACCTAAAAATTAAAAAACATAATGATCCATTTGTTTGATATAGAACATTATCACATTGAAATGTCTCAGTGAATGATCCGGTTTTTATCTGGGGGACTGTTGGTGAGGAAGAAAGAAACCCCTTTGTCTTGTCAAATATTGCCATGGAACCTTTAAAGTCATGGGACCTCAACAAGCCTAATGTCTCACCCCAAGGGTGACCCCCTCCAACAAGGCAGGACTCCCCCCAGCACTGCGCTGGAGTGTTAACCTAGACTGAGTTCAAAGTTTTTTTAGGTAGATTCTTTCCTACGGCCAACCGGGTGGTGGGGGAGGGAGAGATTGTTCGTAATACCAGAAGAAATTCTGTTCTGGTTCAGCTCTTTATCAAACCACGTTTGGTTTGAAGTGGATACTGCACAACGGCCCTGGATCAAGATGTGCAAAGTAAATGTATTCTCTTTGATTAATTACTTTAATTACTCTTTGGCTACAGCCAAGAAGTGTCTGACATGATCTTCCGTTCCGAAATGTTCCGTGGGGACATTCTTCTGTCCCACGTACTCCCATTGAGATTCGACGCAGAGAAACTTAATTGAACGCAGTCGTTTTGAAAGCAAGAAACTCTGTGGGTTACCACACAGTCAGATCCAACAATATTGCCTTAATATTACATGTTAAGTGTCTTAAAGTTGCCTTAGGACTAGCTTTTTCTTCATTAAAAACATTGCTCTCGGTCCATCTATTTTTGTTCCTCCGCATTCTGCCCTTGAAAAGTTTTTTTAACTAACGTTCAGAGTTCAGACTCTGCCCTTCCTACTGTACTGGAAGCACTGCTCTTACCTGAAGTCACGTGGCAAGAGAGAAGTGACACACAGAACTATGTGTGGCTTACACACATGTACTCTCTATGGAAGTTCAGGTATCAGCCTGGTGCAGTGGTAGTGCTTTCACCTCTGAGTCAGAAGGATGTGGGTTCAAGCCCCACGTCAGGGACTTTGAACTCACAGTCCAGGCTGACACTTCAGTACAGTGCTGGAGCTCTGACAATGTCCTGTGTGAAGGGTGCTATATAAATGCAAGTTGTTGTGTGTGTGGGGGAAGCGCTGAATTGTCAGAGCAATTTGTCCTTTGGATGAGACATTAAACTGAAGTCCCGTCTGTGTTCAAGTGGATGTTAAACATCCCTTGGCACTGACTGACAATCCTCCAAATAAAGCCACTCATTCACATCATGGCTGTTTGAGGGGCATTACTATTGCAAATTAGCTACTGCGTTCGCCTACAAATACACAGTCACTGCACTTTACCGTATATCGTGTGAAATACTTTGACAAGTCTACTCGAAGTGAAAGGCACTGTACCAAAAATGCCTGGACTATTTAAAGTAGTGGCCTTAAAATACATGAGTTGTTGTAAACTTAACTTGCATAATGCTCTGGTAAACTTTGTGAGTGTCCACAAAGTCCTGTTATCCCCCTGTTACAAAACAATGATATGCGACTACGGAGGAGCTGAAATGATGGTGCTCTGACACACACACATCGATCCTCTGGACGTCTAAATACAGTTAAACACTTGTACTGAAGACAATCGAGTAGTTCTAAATACAATTATTATCATTCGTGTCAGTTGTTGGCCAGTGCACTGTAGGAAAAATAGCATGGGGTAATAGGAGTTTGTGGACACCATGTGTGTATGTATTGTAAATGTAGGATAGAAATATAACTCTGAGCCACAAGACTGTTCTTCCTGATGGCCAAAATGCGTTAACCGCGATTCTCTGTTTCGATTTGCAGTGTCATCAGCAAGGTGGTCCCGGTGACAGAGTCAAAGCCGGCGCCCAGTGCAAGTCGCCCAAAGACCCCACCTCCAGCTCCGGCACCTCCCCCGCCACCGCACCCTGCCCCCCTGCCTGTGGCAACAACTGCCTCGCCAGCTCCCGCTACTCCATCTCCTTCAGCCACTGCAGCAGGTTCCTCAAAGACACCCGTCAGGAGTGTGGTCACAGAGACCGTCAGTACTTATGTGGTGAGTAATTATTATCATTTTTTTTTGCTCAGCCGGATGTCTGATAGATTCAGAAACCCATCAAAAGTCTTCAAACCGAGCTGAGAATTCCGTGTATCCCACGAACACATGGAAATCCCAGAGATAGATTGTCAGAATGGAATGCGCTCTCTCTCCCTGGAGGGATGCATTCTGCTTACCTAATTTTGCTAGGAATGTATTAGGCGCAGGTTGGCAAGAGCCAAGGTTTGGGGACCCCAGAGTGTGCGTGTTAGGGAAACTGGTGGAATCTAATCAGCTCAGACTGCGGTGAGTAACGTCTCAGTTTCTATTTATCACATTTGGTGTCATTACCATTCTCCTAATTCTGCAAATCACAAGCAGTGTTTTAATCTTAAAGGGAGGAAGGAAGCTTTTTTTTAAATTCCAAGATGAAGCAAATCAGCCCGAGTTTCTGGTTCCAAACCACATCTCTCACTCTGCTTGTCTTGAAAGTAGTAACTTAAAGTCAATTGCTCTGAGTCTAGAATAAAGACTTCATAGCAATTCCTCACACTTATATGGACTTGTGTGTCACATCTACCCACTCACCGTTACTCTTTAAGTCTTTATTTAACCACCTAGAGCAATAAAAACTCTTAGGATCACAAGACAGGTTGTATGGAGAAGTGTTAAGCGCTCTGGGGACGCTACTCTGTGTGAAGGGTGCTATATAAATGCAAGCTGTTGTTGTTTTGGGTTTAAGAGAGATTTAATGGAGGTGTTCACAATTATGAGGGGGCTTGATAGAGTAAATAAGGAGAAAGTGTGTCTACTAGCGGGTGGGTCGGTAACCAGAGGACACAAATTTAAGATAATTGAGAGAAGAACCAGAGGGGAGACGAGGAGAATTGTTACGACCTAGAATGCCCAGGTTTACGCAGCGAGTTGTTACGACCTGGAATGCCCTGCCTGAAAGGGTGGTGGAAGCAGATTCGATAGAAGCTATCAAAAGGGAATCAGATATTTACTTCAAAAGGAAAAATTTGCAGGGTTATGGGGGTAAGAGCGGGGGAGTGGGACTAGTTGGATTGCTCTTTCAAAGAGCCTGCATAGGCACGATCGGCTGAATGGCCTCCTTCTGAGCTATAAGATCCTATGATTCTATTGGGACATGAAATGCACTGCCAGAGATGGTGGTTGAACCAAATCCAGATAAATATGTGAAAAACGATAGAAAAAAGATATGGGTAAAGAGCTGGGGAATGGGACTAAATAGAGAGTAGCTTAAAGAAGTCAAATGCAAGTTGTTGTAGGCTGAATGGCTTCTGTCTGTTCTGTAAAACAGTATGATTCTGCCACATCTTGTGATCTTGAAAGGGAGATCGATCTCAGCGGTGTTTTCTGGAGCCAGAGCAAATGGTGCAGCCGGCTGAAATGTCCCCCGATTGAGTAGGTGGTCTCGTTTCAGGCCTCGCTTTTGCCTTGTCTTCTGCTGCCTTTGCAATAAAACTTAACCCCACCCTCTCTGCCCCGTAAAACAGAGAGCCGAGGAAAGAAACTATTACATCCTCCCACACTGTCCCCACTTCCTACAAGCAAATCTGCTAACTAAGCCAGGGGCAGGTTTCTGCCCCGTTTCTGATTTTTTTTAAAAAACAAATCTGGAACCACATTAATTCGCATGGCTCAGCAAAGCACTGACTGGTGTCTGCACATCTTTACCAAACTTGCACCTACATTTCCTGCGTTGACACTTTTGTGGGTGCAATCTGCGTAGTGAATGACGAGCATTGGGCTGCAGAAAGCTTCGGCTGTGGAATCACCAACTCAGCACCTGAGCTGGAGGTTTCCTCTCAGTTGGCTGGTGTTTATCTCCTAAGGATAAAAATTCCGCCGTGCGCATGGTGACCATAAAGAGATAGTCGGAAGGGACTTTAAACCCAGGCCCCGTCTGTCTGTTTGGGTGGACGTTAAGGATCTTACGGCGCTATTCGAAAAGAGAAGTGGAGTTTCTCTCTCCCGGTGTCCTGGCCAACAATCCCCTCCCAAATAAAAAATCATCAGTCACTCAATCCATGGCTGTTTGTGGGTCACTGCTGGGCACAAACTATCTACCTACAAAATACACAGTCGCTCCACTTTACAGTGTATCCTGTGAAGCGCTTTGAGACGGCTCGAAGACATGATAAGGTGCTATATCAAATGCAAGATTATTATTATTATTATTATGATGGGCAATACTTTCTGGGCCTGAAGCCCAAATGCGCTGCTAACCATGTTCAGTGGACTTTGGGATCGAGCTGTCTCGTGGGTGATGGATGTTGTGCAGCAAATTATTTATAGGATTTCACCCGCAGCAGTTGTCTTTCTGGATGTTCCTGTTGCGCTGGACTCTGACAGAGACACGTTACACATACCTCAGTGCTACAAGGAATGCTAACTAAGCTTTGTGAACTGGCAAATTATCATTCCTGTAGCCCTTCACACAGACACCTTGGGTCGAAAGAAAATAATATGGTGATGGGGGTGGAAGGGAGGGGGGGGCGGGGGCGGAGGATTCAAATGGTTAACCAATAACTGCTATTTCAGCCCTTTGATTTTCTCAAACCTGTAGTTCAGCGCGATCGAGCAAATCACGCGAAGTTGTGTCCTTTTAACACACTTTACAGGGCTCTGCTTAAGAAACGTTCGTTTCACATGGTCTTGTACCAATTGAAAGGTTGTGTTGAGAGATGGTGTCTGGGTGCGTCTGCGTTCTGCTTCTGTTCTCTCTTCCCCTCCACACTCCACCACCTGTCCCCTCGACCTCCACACACACACACACATACACACACACACCCGCATCCTCCCAGCCCTCAATCATTATTCACACAGTTTCCCTTTTACATCAGAACTGTTGGCTACACCCATAGAACTGGCTCAAGGGGAAATACTGGAACAAGATGCTTCACTTTTGGAATAGGGGCAGTTTGATATTGAGAGAACATTGATGACACAGCAGGGTTTGAGTTAGTATAGCAATAATTAGAATCAGTGTAATAATAATAACTGCTATTCAATGTCAGTGTAGCGCCTTTAATGTCAAAGACTAGCTGACTGGCCTTGTCACAAGCCATGTCCTCTCTTCACCCTTAGGTCTTTTCCTATAGAATAAATATAACTCACTATGTCATTCTTCACAGTTTGTTGAGCTAAATCTCTGTAGTTTATTTCTCCCGGCGCTCAGCACCATTGCTCACTGAGAGGCTGAACACATTTGGAAGCTCAAAGGAAGGTTTGGATGAAGGTTGGAACCCATTTGCCCGGGTTTGATCCCCGGACAGGGCGAACCCTTAGGCAAGTTTCCTTACTCCACCCGCCTCAAATCCCTTCAAAACTCGATGACAACAAGAAATTGCGTTTATACAACACCTGTCACATCGGGAGGACCCAAGCTGCTGGGCACTGAAGGGTTTGCACCAGAGCTGGAGAATAGAGTCACAAGGAGTGGAATAGGGATGGCGGTGGGAAGTTGACCAAATGGACGGTCGAATAGGAAGGTCTTGAGACGGGCCTTGAAAAAGGACAGAATCATGATCTTTGCTGAGGGTTACCTGAATGACAAAACCTCATTCTCTGTCATCCCCACTGCCCACAGTTTTTATTGTTCATTTATCTAAGCAATTGGTCTTTTTACTCGGCAGATCCGGGATGAATGGGGCAACAAGATCTGGATCTGTCCCGGCTGTAACAAGCCGGACGATGGCAGCCCGATGATCGGCTGTGACGACTGCGACGACTGGTATCATTGGTAAGAAAATTTGAACGTTGAGTTGTGGATTTGGAGCTAACGTTGAAGTCTCCCTTCCCTCTTGGTAGCAAGCGATTCCTGATGAGCGAGGCTGGTAAAACAGCAGACCTAAACCAGCAGTCGAATACAAACTCCAGCTGGGTTACTAGCACTCTGCCTTGTACCAGTGATTGTCTATATGTGGCGTAACATTCGCTGTTTGTTTTGATCCGTGGCTACAATGTGATGTCCCCACGTAGCCAAAAAGTTTGCAGGCATTATTGAACGAGTGTTGGGTCCTTACAGCTCATAAGCGGCAACACTTGGGTAATTAGAGTGAGTTCCGATTCGCTCATACGCTCCACTGACCCTCTGGTGAGGTGTAGGTGGAGCGCTGCATTGACGGCGGTGCCTCCATCAGATGAGACGTTAAACCGAGGTCCTGGCTGCCTGTTCTGGTGGACACTAAAGACTCCATGATTGTTTGGGAGGACGTTACTGGACACAAATTATCTACGGCTTTCACCTTCAAATTCACTAACCCTTCACAGTAAATCCCTGGTGAAGCGATTTGAGGTGTTGGGTCAAATACGAGGATTATTGACTCACGTGGGCTGTTTGTTTCTTTTACCAGGCCTTGCGTTGGGATTACCGCAGCCCCGCCCGATGAGGTCCAGTGGTTCTGCAACAAATGCGTCAACAAGAAAAAGGAGAAGAAACACAAGAGGAAGAAATCTCGAGCGCACTGAGAGATAGAGACAGAGAGCACAATCAGCCCACGTTCCCCCTATTGACTGTAGTTATTGGAAAGAGCGGCAGTGGCGAGAGAGCGAGAGAGAAAGAGAGCCAGCGCAGAGCGAGAGAACCGAGTTATGAACGTCTTTGTGCAGTGCGCAAATTGCCTAGGGATTCCACCCATTTCCAGAGAGACAGGGATAGAGAGAGAAAAAGGCCCAGAGAATAAAAAAAACTCATTGTTTGCCTTTTTTCGTGTAATTAATTGTATATTTTTTAAATGAAAGTTTGTATTATATATCACACACAATCATTTTTTTGCATTCGTGTACGCAGTGTCATCTTCCTAGTTACTCTTGTAATATATTTTATCTTCTCTGCTTGGAACTCTCATTGCTTCAACCAACAGTGGCGTGATGATTGTAACCCCAAATAACGTATTGCTAACATTTATTAAGAGAATAAATTACATTTTTTTAAGAAAAAAAATCGAGCAGTTGCGTGATGAGAATACACTGGTTGAATGTCTCGCAACGGGAAAAGGGAATCGAGGGGCATGTGGGGAGGGGAGGGAGGAAACCAGGAACAGGAGGAGGCCATTCAGCCCCTCAAGCCCGCTGTTGTTTTCGAATAGTAAGTTAAATCAAGGCACCCGCCTTCCCGTTCAGGTGGACATTAAAGATTTTCTGTAGTTCACAAGACGCTGGAAGGAAATCGGGTTCAAAATGAACGCTGTTAATAATTTGCTAAATTCTGGACGCTGAAATGCTACTTATGTAGAGAAAATCAAGACCCGCATGAGATTGCTCCCCCGTTCCTTATTATTGTATTGGAATCTTATCAGCACCTTGTGATACCCTTTCTATTGACCATAATTGACTTTATGGGCTTGTAATTTCACCTTTACTTGAAGGCCCAATGATTTTATAAAGCTATCTCTTCCAATATCCAACCTGTGCATTAAAAAAAAACTCCAGCATTTATACTTCGCTAATGGGTGTAGATTTGATCCTTGCACTACAAGCAGTAGATGAATATCTGGGAGAGGGATTTTATTTATCAACCAGGCAATAAGGTAATAGAAATAATAATAATAATCCTTGCATTTAATAAACACCTTATCACGTTGTTGAGACGTCTCAAAGCGCTTCACAGAATATACTGTAAAGTGAATGGATGGACCGTGTATTTTGTGGGCGAAACACGACAGCCAATTGCGCACGGCAGCGTCCCCACAAACGGCCGTGGATTGAATGACCAGTTTTTCTTTTGGAAGGGATTATTACCCCTGGAAAGCGATCCGCCAATCCACTAACAACCGCTGTTTGCTCGGCAAACAGGCGTGTGGAGTAAGGAAACTTGCCTAAGGTTTCGCCCCGCCAGGAAATCTTCCCCGAGTCCTCTCGCTTGCGAGGTGAGCGCTCTAACCACTACGCTATGGGCTTCCACTAAAAGAAGGAGGGTTTAGGAGAACCTTTTATCATTCAGAGAGTTGTTGGGACATGGAATTATTATTATTATTAGCAGAACATTCCACCCTACCCGTTAGGGCTTTGGCTTGCAGGGTTAACGGGAGCTGAGTGGGAGGATTCCCTGCCCCCAGAGACTGGTCGGCCCTTCCGGATAGGTGAATGGTCAATTTATCTGGAAGGTCTTTGGCCAGGACAGGACACCAGGAGAAATGTCCTTTTCTTTTGTGATGGGGAAGAACAGGCCTGAGCTTATGATCCGCTCACCTGTTGTTGAAAGGGTGAGGCTAAGTTCACAGTGACTGACACAGAGTAGAGTTAGCATATTAGTACATATTAGTGTTCATGCTTTTGTAGGTGGTTTGAGCACTAGTTCATGCATGTGGGATCTACCGCAATCTCTTTTTAATGAACCTCCCCAGGCATTAGCGCAGGGGTTAAACAGAGAGCAATCTGACCCTTCTCATCTCTCTCTGAGTTCCAGGGTTCAGTTCCCCACTGTTTCTGAAACTGGGAGGTTCCCAAGCTGTTTTAGTGACACCTTCTGCTCTAAATTATTATTTAAGGGTGATTAAATATGAGGTTGCCATCGATTGCTTCTCAGCTGGAGTTAACAGCGTGTGTTTAAAGTAAATCCGCGCTCTGCATCTCTCAGCTCATCTACTGAGTGCAAGTACAGAGCTGGTGATTGACAGTGTGGAAAATACTTGATTTGTAAATCAAAAGAACGCTAATCTCACAAAATACACTATTTGAAACACTTCATTTTGGCTCACGGTGATATCTTGTGTGAACAACAATTCCCAGCCATGACGCGCTGAGACTGGAGTCCTGTTGCGGTGTATTGATCAGACCGCTCGCCTCGCCAGCGAGAGGACCTGCTTCGATTCCCGGGCAGGGAGAAACCTTAGGCAAGTTTCCTTACTCCACCCACCTCTGTTTACCCGGCAGTACGTAGTAACCCGGTTGTTAAGTCGATTAGCGGATCGCTTTCTGGGGGTAATAACCCGTTCCACACTCTCACCGCCCTCTGTGTGAAGAAGTTCCTCGTATACTCACCATTAGATCTACTTTATATTAACTATTTCGTAGCTTCAGGGCTATTTGTGGGGATATTGCTCTGTGCAAATTGTTTCTGCCGTGTTAGCCTACAAATACAAAGTCACTAACCTTCGCAGTAAAATCCTGTGTGGCACTTTGAGACGTTTTGACTTCATAAGGGGTTGGATCAAATGTCAAGGATTATGATGCTCTTTCTCTCAGACGCCTCGATTGATTTCATCACCAAATACTCCAGCTATCTAATTCCCTCTGGATCTCGGTGACACAATCTGCCTCCACCGCCTCCCAAGGCAGTCTAGTCCACGTTTCAGCTGGTGCAGGTGTCACTTGGCATTTGTTCACAGTGCAAACAAGTCATTACATTTACTGTACCATAAACACATTCTTCCAAGGCTTCAGGCTTCATTGGCAGAACGAGAAGTCATGACCCACTTGTGGAGTGAATAATAATAATAATAATAATAATAATAATAATCCTTGCATTCGATACAGCAACTTCGAGACGTCTGAAAGTGCTTCGCAGAATAAACTGTAAAGCGACTGCATTTTTGGGGTGAAACGTGGCAGCCAATTGCTGGATTTTCATGGACATAACCTTAGCCTTAAGACGTAAAGTGTAACGTTTTTAAATGTTTCAAGACCTTTCTTTTTGACTGTGCCTGCGTTCATCTTCCCTCCCTGATAAATTATAACTGGCTGTGTGCGCGGTGAGCAAATCGGTGGTTCCCTTTTTTTGCCTACAAATACGAAGTCACTGCACTTAACAGCAGTTACTTGTCCAGTGCTCGGAGGCATTCGTGAGAAGTGTTACAGCAAATACGAAGGTTATTATTTGAAGAAAATGATCTTATTAATAATAATAATAATAATAATCCTTGCATTCGGTATTAGCGCCCTTCGCGTCGGGAGGACGTCCCAGAGGGCTTCATAGAATTTCACTGTAAAATGCAGTAAAGTGCCCATGAGAGGTTGAGCTCACACAGTCCAGGCTGATTATATATAATCTATTCGTTTGATGTAGAGCGTTATCAAAAGGTCTCACCGTACTTCACTTCTTAAAATATACAGTCAATTCGCTGTCCACTTTTACTGTAAGGTGTAGTGACTGTGTAATTTGTTGGTGCACACGGCAGCCAATTTGCGCACAGCGATGTCCCCACACAAACAGCCGTGAAATGAACGAGCAATTTTATTTGGGGGATTGTCGGCCGGGGTAATGGGGGAAGAAACTGTAAGACTGAGAGCAGGTGACTGACATGTCAAGCCTGTGGAGCTGGGGGGGGGCACAGATTCCCTGTAGACAAGACCAGTCGCTGCTCTCCATCACCCCCCCTTACACCCCCAAGAGAGAAGCTCTTGTCATTTGTTATCGTCTCTTTTGCTTTCTATTTCCAGACCAATTTCCAATCACTTGGCCAATTTAGAACTAATTCCATGAGACGCTGCTCTCTGTGAGAACCTCGCAAGCGAAGCGTTATCAAATGTCTCCTGAAAAACACACACAAGGTAAGTGATATCCCTAGGGCAGTCCTTATTCACTAATTTACTTACCTCCTCAAAGAATTCCAGTAAATTTGAGAGGCTCTACTCTCAGACCCTCCTGACCAGCTCTTGACTGTATGATAAGATCACAGATAACAGCCTGCCTTTAAAATGTTCTTTGGGACATTCCCATTGTGTCTGGAGACCCGAATGGTTTATAATTTTGCAAGTCGCGAAATTAAAATACAAAGAGAGAGAGAGAGAGAGAGAGAGAACCGTGTTCGATTCCCGGGCAGAGCGAAATGTTGGTCAAGTTTCCTTGCTCCACACACACGCCTCTGTTTACCTAGCAGTAAAGTAGGAACCCGAGTGTTAGTCGATTGGCGTATTGCTTTTCTGGGGGTAATAATCCCTTAAAAAAATAATAATGGTTTGGTCACTCAATCTACGACTGATTGTGGGGACGCTGCTGTGCGCAATTGGCTGCTGCGTTTCGCCCACAAAATATACAGTCAATTCACTTCACAGTATATTCTGCGAAGCGCTTTGAGACGTCAAGAAAATAATAAGGAGTTATATTAAATGCAAGGATTATTATTAATATAACTGGAAGGAGGCAACTGGGAACTGAAATTCCACCTGTCAGAAAGTATTGTCTTCAAATTTACAATGGCGCAGAATTGTGGAAAAACTCTTAATTGGGAAACAGTTTTCTTTATCAGAGTTTGGGAAAATTTCTCTCTCTCTCTCTCTCTCTCTCTCTCTCTCGCTCTCTCTCGTTTCCCTGACCATTGCAGAGAGGAGGAATCATCTATCTGCCTGTTTCCTTTGAAACAGACTCTTAGTCACGGAGTAGAGATCAGTTACCAAACACAGGCGGCTCCCAAACTCACAGATTGGATTCAAGAATTTATAATAATGCTTAATAATAATCCTCGCATTTGATACAGCGCCTTATCACGTTTTCGAGACGTCTCAAAGCGCTTCACAGGATATATTGTAAAGTGGAGTGACCATATTGTGTGGCCGAAACACTGCAGCCATTTGCGCACTGCGGTGTCCCACAAACAGTCATGAATTGAGTGACGGAATTTTTATTTGGAGGGATTACTATCCCTAGAAAGCAATCCACTGAAGCAATCGACTAACAATCGGGATCCTACTTACTGCTCGGTAAACAGAGTGGGGTGGGGGGGGGCGCGTGGAGTAAGGAAACTTGCCCAAGGTTTGGCCCCGCCAGGGAATCGAACCCGGGTCCTCTCGCTTGGCGAGGTGAGCGCTCTAACCACTGCTCTGCAAGTCTCCGCGAACTTCCCATGAACTTGAGGTGAAAGCGTAAGCAGGCTCGCAGGCGGCGGAGAGGGCAGGGCGAGCACGGCATAGTTTTGTCTATCTCAGCTTTGAAGCACAAGTCAGCGGTGATTAGACCCCACAACAGGGGATGAAAGGCAGTGGAGCCGGATCGAGAGTGGTTTG